TTTACATTTAAAAACTGTTATACTAACAAACGCTGATTGTAACCGTTATCAATTTGAAAAAGGAATAAATAATCTAACCAGCTAGATGAGAGTTGGAGCTTCTTGGCGCATTCCATCCTCTCCAGTTTTGGTTTAGTGATTCAGCATCCGAGACCCAAGAACATAAAGAATCCTCCTCGAAACGTTCAGAATCCTGCCAAGGTAAGTTAAATTAATTCTTGTTAGCAAACGTCCGAAAAATTTAAAAATTTTCTGACCTAAAATTGCCCTTCTGAAACCAGCAAACTTAGTTATAATGGCAAACCTCAAAAGAAAATTGGTCCTCATCTCTTCGGGGAGCTCCAGCTGCTAAGCCATCTTCAATTTCATCCTCTCCTCCTGCAGCGCGCATCAACCAAATATCATTTGGATTTAGCTCCACCTCCTAAGTATCCAGTATTGACAATTTGAAAACAACATAAAATCTTCAGAAAAAATTTTTCTAACAAAAATTTATAAAGATGTAGAGCGCTGTATAAATTTCCATCAGTAGACCTAAAAATTCCATTACAGTGGTCAAAATAAACTTTGCCAGATAGTAAAAAAAAATACAGCAAGAAATTATGTTGCTGTAAAAGACTAAAACGTAGGAACAAGAATTTGGAAACTTCACCGATATTTAACCTACGCATTTAATTAAGACAATAAAATGTGCAGATTTTACCTGCTCCTCAGGATTAGGAGAAATACTCATCTCAAAACCGATATTAATGTGCGGTCTTTTCACCAAGACATTATAATAAACAAAGTTGGAGACCAGGATCTGGAAAAAAGCAGTTGTAATTGTAAAGATGTGTTTATAAATCACGCTTTCCACCTCTCGACAACACTGCACAGTAAGTACACCGTTTCATAGAACCACAAAATATTTCTACGAAGAAAAAAAACCGATATACAAGAAACGGATTTAGTTAACCCATAAAGCAAGTGAAAAAGATCTGAATATTACAGAACAGTGAGAACTATACATAGATATTAACTTCTGTTTGCCAATGCCATTCAAATGCCGGAATCAAAGGTAAACAACAATGAAAACAAATAAAAAGAAGAGAGTAACATAATTATAAATAGAAATAATGTTAAGTGAAAAAACTACAATACTGTTCTGTTACTGACCAAAATAAATGGTGTAAGCGAAACTTAACAAGGCCGTTTGAATGTACTGCAAGGTGTGATCATATATTACCATTTGACATTTCTATTCAAACAATCAATGAATTAATATAGAAGGTAAGTGCAGGAACATGAGTGTCCAAAAATCTGACTTTATAATACTTCTAAAACATTTCCGCAGTTCTGCAAATCTTTATTTTTTTTTTTTTTAGTATAGAAATTTTTTGACTTATCATCAATTCACTTATTAATAACTCCACGTTAAACAGTCGTAAATCATAAGTTTCGGATGAATGCAATTAGATATCCTTCTAAAAATAAAAAGAATGATGGTTAAGGTTAATCGTTAAAAATCCGGGTACAGGAAGTAAAACACCTTAAATGATTGAAAGATTACCAGCTAATTATCATTCAAAGCAGGCAGACAAAATCAAAATGATAATAGCCTATGTCAAATTAGTAAAAGAATTTTAACCATTTA